CCCTCACTCACACCCATCCACCCCACACCCTCACTCACACCCATCCATCCCACACCCTCGATATTGTTGCCGTTCAACATATTTCTGTCTAAAGGGCAATTAAAATTATTATGAGATAAAATTGACCGTCCAAAAGTGTTTATTTTTTCCTCAGATGCTCTTTGTTATCACCAAATAACTCGTTGAAGATGTTTACATTGTCATGCACATGAAAAATTTCAGTTTCAGAAAAAGAAACATAAAATTAAGATTTGTCAATAATGTTTTTGTCGCATGAATCTAGATTGCTATACTTTTCAACACATGTACGACAGATACCACTGCCTTCACAGTGAGAAGCTAATACATCATTGGGATCAATACCACTTCGGCAATTACTACAAAGAAATCGATCGCTTGTTGCAGAGTTTCTTTCATATTCAGCTTCATCCGTAATAAATGAATAATTTATTCTTCGGGATTCCTTTGGCCGCTTTTCATTTGATAAAGCTTGTCGTTTTAATTTTAAAAGTAAGCCTTCCATCAGAGGCTTCTGTGAGAATGGATGAGGGCATGTGGAAATGTTTCTAGTTCTATGCATACTCACATCCACTCATACCCATACTCTTACCCCATACGCATACCCAGACCCCAAACCCACATCCCACATCCCACACCTACACCCACGCCTTCGTTCGTACAAGCAGCAAATCAATCTAAAATAACCTATCTAACTGAGTTTTTCCTGATGAATACGAATCTGAAATCCATTTTTTAAAGTTCCATAGAAATTGTATGCCTTTGTGGGGTAGGATCAAAAGTGACTAGGCAGGGTATGTCACAGTGTGCTTGATACTAATCTGCCCCCCCTCTCCTCGTTTTTTCGTCTTGACAATTTAATGTTAAAAGATGTATCTTGACAATATCTATGTCTGATAAAAAGAGTAGGGTAGGATTGCTTGCACCAGTCAATAAAAGTCCAAAAAACTGCCATTCCAGAGAGTAAGATTTCTTGAAATGTTGAAGGCATTTGATTTATAGCTTTGCCTTTATAAAAAATATGAATCATCGAAAGTGGATAAATTTGTAGCCTATACTATTCCCTATCTAATGAAATACACCCGATTTCAAACGGTCAAGCCATTGATGAGAAAATATCGAAATATTGACCACACCCAATTTTAGCGACTTTTCTGGGGCTATTTTGACTCCCTTAAACTTGTTATAGGTGGCATATTTTATAGGTAAAACCAAATGTCCTAATATTTTGGATTTAACTATAGCTTGTCTAGACCTATCGTTTAAAAAGATAAAATCGAAATTTTTTTTCCCCAACAACCTCTAAACAGAGTAGAGTGGCCTTCTCGCGGACCCTGTCTTCAGTATTCTAAAGTTCTATGGAGTTCTGAAGATCAAATTTCACTGTTTTCTGTTTGAAAAATTGCCAAAGAAATTCAGCCTGATGTGGAGGGGTACCTGTTTTTGGAATAATCTACTATAGTAGTGATGATAATTGTACTGCAGCTCTGGGCTATTCTCCGATCAAATACCGGCTTTTGTTCCAGAACAAATGATTTGACGATAACTTTGAAAATATATGTCTGGCTTCAAAACTTTACATTCACAGTTTGTATTCAACAAATTCATTGGTTACAGAGGTACTATGGGGAAAAAGGTCAAAACATTCGTATTTAATTAATCATTTTTCCCTAAAAAGGTAATGATAAGAATTTTGAGTTTCTTTTAAAATGTGGGTGAAATCTGTTAGTCCAATTTACTAGAGCTCAAGTGTTTTAGAATTTCGATGCTCCAAAAGTTTCTGTTCAATAACAGAAAGCTGAGGTTGCATCGATTGTTAGGTTTTATAGACTGTGAATGAACGCAAACTCAAATGCATTATTTTATCAAGAAATGCCCAATTGGTGTCCAAAGTTGTTGCAAAAGAGTAGCAACCAACTTCATATTCAAAGTCAAAATATTTTAGGTAAGAGACGACAATCCTGTCGCTCGGGTTATACGGAATCATCATGGAAAAGATGGATGTAAGTAGTGCTTTGGTGGTGGGTTAAACCTTTTCTTTCATTAGGAAATCAGCATACATTTGTTGACGTCAATTTTGATGATGTTTCGGTTAACGATAAGTGTTCCATATTGTTTAAAGAAACTGTGTATGATGGTTCAAAATGGATTGGTACATGGTATATAATCAGGCAAACATTTATCAAAGATATGTTTCTCACTATTTTCATAATGTCGACAAAAATTGCGATTTATTCCGCACAGCCATTGCTCATTTGTGAAATCGTTTTCCATATTGGTGACACATCATGATTGCCAGCTTATCTGTGGGTTATTTAAGTGCTGTTGCTCTTGGTATTTGTTCGATTGTACAAGTTATTATAAATCAACAACTATTATTTCGAAGGGTGGGGTGGGGGTGGGAAAGGATGTGCGATTTTGCATTAAACGGTGTTATACTGACAGTGAGGATATTGAAACGGAGGTCAATGCAGCAACACTGGCACTGATCTTAATTTCTGTTGACTAAAATCTCTATGCAAAATGTCGTACTGTACAACGTAAAT